GGACTTTAATAACATTTATTACTTAATGGAAACACTGCAGCTGTGAAACTGTGTTTTTTCAACATTAACAGAAAATCAACAGTTTTGTGCACGTGTAATGGAAACACAGTGACTGACAGCATTAGAAGAGGGGGACGACTGGACACAGAGACCTCCACCTCTGATTTATGATGATTCACGTTACAAGAAGGTCCCACGGCCCAAACAATCATTAGTTAGGCTGATGGTCCTCATGTGAACAAGCTGTTGGTCACCATGTGGAGGCTGAGTTCACCTGAACCTCCTCAGACTGAGAGACAAATGTTTCATTAAAGAACCTGTCCAGAGGACCTCTTTAGACAAAGGTTACATTTTTCCACCTGAATATTGAGTTACATCTGGATGAAAATGATCGTATTAATTATTTAGGTTAAAGACAGAGAATTAACCAAACAGCTGCTTCTCAACTTGTAACTGTGTTAAAAGTCGGGGTTTAGTTAACTCCACTGGTGTTTGCAGTGTACAGACAAGCTAACAACATCAACATGCTGAAAGACGGGATGAAGATTGAAGCAACACATGTGAAGAAGAAGCAGCTGCACCAGTATCTGCCTGCTGAGCTCATTCAGAGAAAGAAAAGGGTCAGACCTTTCAGATTACCTAACCCCAACCGTTCTGCTGTCAGGATGTTTGGTTTGGTGTCCTCAGCCTCTCCATGTTTCATTCCTCCACAGAGCATAGCAGAGTTGAACCGAAGCTCAAACAGTGACGGCTCCAAGCGGATCTCTCTGGACGGCAGTCACCTGGACAGCTCCAGAGACACGGACTCTGGGACTCCCTTCACTTCCCCCAGCAGCAAGCCTCAGAAACGCTGTGCTGAGACGAACGACAGGTGTGATAAACTCTGACTCACTCAGGTCAGGCTTTCTCCCACAACATGCTTCTAAGTGTGGTTTTACTGTTTTCCAGTGAAATCCCCCCCAAGCAGCTTTTTGTAGAGGACCTCCCTGTCCCTAGCACGACAGCTGCTGCTAACGAACCCGGCGTGTCCACCTCCGTCATCGGTAAGTTTATGAATGTGCATCATTTCCCCATCAGGTCTGAGTTAAAGCAAAGCTGTGTGTCCTCCAGGCAGCAGCAGTGTCCTGAGTGACACCATCACACCCAGTGCMACCAGCAGCCCTAAAGAGGAGCCTAATGGTCTCCAGGACCCCATCAATGAACCTTCTGACAACAGACCACCCTCCCCGACAGAGGAAGACCTGTCCAAGAGACAGACAGAGACAGAAGTAAGGAAGGACTTGGGTCTGAGGTGGTTCTTGTTTAGACCAGTACAGTTAGGAGTGACTCTGGTCTTTTGTCTTGTTTCAGGTGAAATCTAACGACGACTGTACTTTTAAAGAGCCGTTCCCTCCATCCTCTGAGTCAGCTGCACATGTTGAAGCTCCCAGTACTGTGAGTGTTCTTTACACTTCCTGCTTATTGGAACTGATGGTGAGAAATGAAGACAAATAATGTTTCCTTCACTCTCAGCCCCCTCAGGCTGCATCAAAAACAAAACCCGTTCCACAGACTGATAGCTCAAGAACACAGGTAAATGTTCATTTTAGTTTTATTTGAAACATATTGATTTATTCATGATGATTTTAATTCAGTTGAATCATGAATCAGCTTCATTATTGATGTTTCCTGTTTCAGAGACTTCCCAGCATGGAGCTTCCTGATGCATCATCACCTCTTCCAGCCAGTCACAGCTGTCGAGTGGTGAAGAACTCCATCAAACTGGCCCTGAACCGCAGCACGTCAGTTCACCTGTTGTTACAGTTCACCTGTTGTTACAGTCTGCCTGTTGTTACAGTCTGCCTGTTGTTACAGTTCACCTGTTGTTACAGT